TTTTTTGTTGGCAACGTTTTTCCAGGGCCTACTGGCCCATACTAGGCAGGTCCTTCCCAAACACCGTAACAAAAATATTTACCCAACCCATTTTTCAGTGCTATTAAAGGAATAAGCTTTAACCCTATTAACTCGTGCTCTATAAATTCCACTCAAATACACCCTCTCACTCTTATTTATCTAACTTATACTTGAAACTACCCAAGGTTCTAGCTTCAAAAACCCTACTAGGCAGATTGTTCCACTCATTGACTACTCAATTTCCAAAGCAGTACTTTCTTACATCCTTTCTAAACCGAAACTTATCTAATTTGAATCCATTATTTCGAGTACTTTCTTGAAAGGATATTCTCTGAACCATAATTATATTTCCTTTTAATTATATCTTCCATTTTACACTTCAATCATGTGTCTCATTCTAAGCCTTACAAGAGGATGTAGGTTAAGGGCTCTCAATCTATTTTTGTATGAAATATTTCTTATGAAGTGGATTAATGCTGTCATCCTTTTCTAAATGTTCTCCAATGAATTTATATCCATTCTGTAGTATGGAGATAGGACTAAGCTGCGTAATCAAAGCAAGGCCTTACTAATAGTGTAGAGCTGTAGTATAACCTTTGGACTCCTGCTACTTATACTTCTTGATATAGATCCTACAACAGACCTGCTGGCCCATGCTAGGCAAGTCTAATTCACATCCAGACAAGGCAAACACCAATTCCTCCATCCTAAACAATAGACCACAAGGTTCCTCAAGAGTCCACCACAATGGACAAGGAGACTCTCTCTCAAGTTTCAGGGCCTGTAATAATAACAGGTGTGAAAGTAAAAAAAAAAAATCCAGGGTAAATTAAGAAAATCTTGTGGATGGTAAATAAAATGCCCGAGTACATATGTATATTACGTAAGTAAAATGGGCAATTAGGCTTACCTTAACTTTATTAAAACGGAGGAGAAGTCGAGGACCTGCGCCCTACTGTAGGTCTGGGAGAGGTGAGCTACCACCACGTGAGCCCGTTTGCTCAGCACATCCTTGACCAGTCCTGTATACAACCCACCAGTGTATGACCCGAACTCTCCGTCAGCCGGGGTTATCACGGAGTACCTGCCAGCACCCACCCGCGTGTGGGAATTAAATACCATTAATCTTATGCAGCATTTGCAGCATTAATCAAAGGGTATTAGGCTATACTTCAAGTTTGCACCCTGATAGGATATATATCTTCTTTCAACAAACCAGCCGTATCCCACCGAGGCAGGGTGGCCCAAAAAGAAAAACAAAAGTTTCTCTTTTCAAATTTAGAAATTTATACAGGAGAAGGGGTTACTAGCCCCTTGCTCCCGGCATTTTAGTCGCTTCTTACACACGATGGCTTACGGAGGAAGAATTCTGTTCCACTTCCCCATGGAGATAAGAGGAAATAAACAAGAACAAGAACTAGAAAGAAAATAGCAGAAAACCCAGAGGGGTGTGTATATATTTGCTTGTATATGTATGTGTAGTGTGACCTAAGTGTAAGTAGAAGTAAGCAAGACGTACCTGAAATCTTGCTTGTTTATGATACAGAAAAAAGACCCCAGGAATCCTACCATCATGTAAAACAATTACAGGCTTTCGTTTTAAAATTCACTTGGCAGGACGGTAGTACCTCCCTGGGCGGTTGCTGTCAAACAACCTACTACCAGGAGTTAGATATATATATATATATTTATATATATATAATATATATATATTATTTTTATTTAATTATAATATATATATATATTTATATATTTTTATATGCAAACCACTGTGAACAATAGAGAAATTCCCAAGCGCTTTCGTGAATACTCACATTATAAAGGGAAAACAATGAAAGTAAAGAAATAAAAGGAAGGTATAAAAAGGGTCTAGCCACACCTCACTATCAGATTCCACAACAAAAAACACCTGATGCGTGACTTTTAAGGGAAAGGGAAACATGCAGCAGGCCCGCCGGCCAACTGTACATGTCCTTCACAAAAACCCACCAACAAACTATTCTACCCAAGAAAAAAGAATTTTAAAAATTATTATTTGTCCAATGTAATTAAATTCTTCCCAAATTCTTTTAAAATTATAATGGATCAAATTTATATAACTAAGAAAATATTCATATTATTGTCAAAACTGCTTTTTATGAAACAAGATTCAATTATTTTTAAATGTCGACCATGGACTTGCTTGATACAACTTTCTCAACTTTTTAAAAATCAATTGGATGGTTAAAATCTCTCCATGAATAAATAGAGCATTGGAATCTTGTCCAGTTCAATGCAATATTTATGTTGTTTTAATCTTAGTTCGAGGGTTTTTACCAGTTTGACCGTAATAAAACTTTATCGCAAATTTTACAGGAATCTTACAGAAAATCCATCAGCATTTTGGGGGGGAAATTTTTATCAAAAGTTTTTTTACTGTATCAAGATTTTTTGAATACAACTTTAATATTAAAAGTCTTAAGAAGAGAAGGCATATCAACCAAGTTTTTCATTGGTAAGGGAGAACCAAAATATTTTTAGTTGAATAAGGCTGGTTGTCCCTTTTTGGATTGTAAAATGTATTTTTTAGCAACTTTAAAAGATTTATCAATTACGTTTCTTGGGTTTTCCAAATCATTACCTATTTCATAAATTTTGGATATTTCCTCATCTATGAACTCTGGACTACAAATTCGTAAAGCTCTTAAAAACATTGATGAGAAAAAAGACAGTTTTAACTCTATCTTGATGCGAAGAATAATAGTGGACTAGGAACAGTTATTTGTAGGTTTTCTGTAAATTTTAAATTTGAATTCATTATTACCCTTAATAATTAAAACATCTAGAAAAGGGAATGAGTTTTTTCTTCAAACTCAACAGTAAAGTTTATAGAATGGCCCAAAACTATTTAATTTGCCAAGGAAATGGTGTATTCTACATTTTTGGGCATAAGACACAAAAATCTCAAATATATGTGAACCATTTAGCTCTATTTGGGAGGACTGTGTTAAGCAGCCTTGTTTCAAAAAATTCCATGTTTTAGGTTACTAAGAACAGGTGAGAGGGATTTCCCATTGCCATACCCAAAATTCTGAGTGTAAAACTTATAATTAAATACAAATTTTGCATCAACAATGCAAAGTTTAATAAGTTTAATGATAGTAGGAACTGGCAATGGTAAATTTATAGTTAACGAGTTCTTCAGATAAGGGAAAAATTAATAAATCTCAACAGGAACTTTCGTAAACAAGGGAAGTAACATCAAAACTAACCATGTTAAAATCATTTAAGTCAGTCAAGGAGCTTAATTTTTCAACTAAAAACTATGTTGTTTTTAACATTAAAGTTGAAATTTTTCAAACAATAGGGCTCAAAATATCAACAAGCCATTTGGATAATTTATAGAAAACTGATCATGGAGCTAATAATTGGTCCCGACTGGATTCCCTGGTTTGTGTGTTTTTATTAGTCCATACATGTAAGGTAAAGATGGATTAGTGGAAGTAAATTGTTTGACTAATTCATCTTTGCCTTTCAGTAGAAGTTTTATTGTTTTATTGAAATTGCTGTTAACGGTTTCTAGGGGATTTTTTCTAAGTTTAGAATAGGTTTCAGTATCATCTAAGAGCATATTCATTTTTTCTTGGTAATCATTTTCTTTCATAATTACTATTGCATTTATTTTGTCTGCTCTAGTAAAGCGCAAATTTTTATTGTTATTAAGACTTAAAGAATCTTTGAGGGCAATTGGGAATATTTTGTTTTTACATAGAGCTATATACCATTCCCTTACTAATATTAATTTCATCAGTGGATAAATCAGAAAATTTTTCAAAGTTACAAAAGGCTTTTGCAATTTCAACATTAAGGTTTTTTGAAGTTGCAAAACTTAGGCCAAAACCTAGAGCAGCAGTTGTATTTTTGTCTAAAATTTCATCTGATAAGTTAATTACAAAATTGTTATTAGCATGCTTTGTCCAATCACTATTTTCAATTAAAATGTCTAATTTTCTTTGTAGTTTGTTTTGGAGTTCATTACAAATTCTTTTGAGTTTATTATAGCAATGATCCAACATACTGTGTTTCCATTCGGATGAAAACTTGGTTGATATGCCTTCTCTTCTTAAGGTTTTTAATATTAAAGTTGTATTCAAAAATCTTGATACAGTAAAAAAAACTTTTGATAAAGAATTCCCCCCAAATTGCTGATGGATGTCTATAAGATTCCTTGTAAAATTTGCAATAAAGTTTATTACGGTCAAACTGGTAAAAATCTCGAACTAAGATTAAAACAACATAAATATAGCATTAGAACTGGACAAGATTCCAATGCTCTATTTATTCATGTGAGATATTTTAACATCCAATTTATTTTCAAAAAGTTGAGAAAGTTGTATCAAGCAAGTCCATGGTCGACAGGAATATAACTGAATCTTGTTTCATAAAAAGCAGTTTTGACAATAATATGAATATTTCCTTTGGTTTATATAAATTAGATCCATCTATAATTAATAGAATTTGGGAAAAATTTAATAATACATTGGACAAATAATAATTTTTAAAATTCTCATTTCTTGGGTAGAATAGTTTGTTGGTGGGTTGTGTGAAGGACCTGTCTAGTTGGGCCGGCGGGCCTGCTGCAGTGTTCCCTTTCTTATGAGTCACACATCAGGTGTTTTTGTTGTGGGATCTGATAGTGAGGTGTGGGCTAGACCCTTTATATACCTTCCTTTGATGCTTTACTTTCATTGTTCCTTGATAATGTGAGTATTCACGAAAGCGCTTGGAATTTCTCTATTCTTTCAAAGTGGTTGTTTTGCATATTCTGAAATCACCTGTTTACTGTGATCTTATTGCATATATATATATATATATATATATATATATATATAATATATATATATATATATATATATATATATATATATATATATATGTGTGTGTGTGTGTGTGTGTGTGTGTAAGATTTTTTTATCTTTGTGTATAAACAGAGATTTTACTGTCGTCTCTATTTTAATTATCATAATATTCATGTTATTGGTTTACAGGCGATGTTTTCTGAGCCTAATGACTCACTTTTACCCACAATCAAATTTCATAAGCGAATATTGTTCATTACTATTAATAAAAAATTTAAATTAAAATTATATTTTTATAATAATAATATCTTTATTTACTACAAGTACATGTACATGGTATACAGTCCTAGCTGACAACAATGACATACTACTATATAGAAACTCCCTTGTTATGCTCTGCATTTCGGGCAAATTAGGTCAGTATCCCGGGATGCGACCCACACCAGTCGACTAACACCCAGGTACCCATTTTACTGATGGGGAACATAGACAACAGGTGGAAAGAAACAGGTCCAATGTTTCTACTCTGGCTGGGAATCGAACCCAGGCCCTCACCGTGTGAAGCGAGAGCGTTAGCCACCAGGCCGCCAGAGTATTAATTTCACGTTGAATACCTGAGAATAAAAAATATACACTTTTAAGCACTTAACTTTAACAGGTAAACAATCTGCTAAATCGAATACAAATCTAATTTAAAGACTAAGTAAATGATTAATTTGCACATAATCTTTGGTGAATCATACGTTCCCTCATTTAAATCAGGGGAAGAGCTAAACACGAAGGGACTCGTATCGCCTGAGGAATGGGAGGGGACGAGTCAAGTTCCTTGGATCAAGAGCCCCTCACTGAGGGGGTGAAACAATTCGAGGAACCTAGTTAAATATTGTTTATTATGCACCCCATACCCAACCAGTGGGCGGTAGACACCCCATACCCAACCAGTGGGCGGTAGACACCCCATACCCAACCAGTGGGCGGTAGACACCCCATACCCAACCAGTGGGTGGTAGTCACCCCATGCCCAACCAGTGGGTGGTAGTCACCCCATGCCCAACCAGTGGGTGGTAGTCACCCCATGCCCAACCAGTGGGAGGTAGTCACCCCATACCCAACCAGTGGGAGGTAGTCACCCCATACCCAACCAGTGGGCGGTAGTCACCCCATACCCAACCAGTGGGTGGTAGTCACCCCATGCCCAACCAGTGGGCGGTAGTCACCCCATACCCAACCAGTGGGTGGTAGTCACCCCATACCCAACCAGTAGGCGGTAGTCACCTCATACCCAACCAGTGGGAGGTAGTCACCCCATACCCAACCAGTGGGCGGTAGTCACCCCATACCCAACCAGTGGGTGGTAGTCACCCCATACCCAACCAGTGGGCGGTAGTCACCCCATACCCAACCAGTGGGCGGTAGTCACCCCATACCCAACCAGTGAGCGGTAGTCACCCCATACCCAACCAGTGGGCAGTAGTCACCCCATACCCAACCAGTGGGTGGTAGTCACCCCATACCCAACCAGTGGGAGGTAGTCACTCCATACCCAACCAGTGGGCGGTAGTCACCCCATACCCAACCAGTGGACGGTAGTCACCCCATACCCAACCAGTGGGCAGTAGTCACCCCATACCCAACCAGTGGGTGGTAGTCACCCCATACCCAACCAGTGGGCGGTAGTCACCCCATACCCAACCAGTGGGCAGTAGTCACCCCATACCCAACCAGTGGGCGGTAGTCACCCCATACCCAACCAGTGGGCGGTAGTCACCCCATACCCAACCAGTGGGTGGTAGTCACCCCATACCCAACCAGTGGGTGGTAGTCACCCCATACCCAACCAGTGGGCGGTAGTCACCCCATACCCAACCAGTGGGCGGTAGTCACCCCATACCCAACCAGTGGGTGGTAGTCACCCCATACCCAACCAGTGGGCGGTAGTCACCCCATACCCAACCAGTGGGCGGTAGTCACCCCATACCCAACCAGTGGGTGGTAGTCACCCCATACCCAACCAGTGGGTGGTAGTCACCCCATACCCAACCAGTGGGTGGTAGTCACCCCATACCCAACCAGTGGGTGGTAGTCACCCCATACCCAACCAGTGGGTGGTAGTCACCCCATACCCAACCAGTGGGTGGTAGTCACCCCATACCCAACCAGTGGGCGGTAGTCACCCCATACCCAACCAGTGGGCAGTAGTCACCCCATACCCAACCAGTGGGCAGTAGTCACCCCATACCCAACCAGTGGGTGGTAGTCACCCCATACCCAACCAGTGAGTGGTAGTCAAAAATTAGAGGCACATGGGTCCAGTCTCTTGGGGTCCCAGTTCTATGCAAGTTACAATGGCAATGAACTATTTACAAGTCTATAGCTGGATACAATCGTAATACAGTTAATTATGAAAACATGAATTCAATCACAAAAAAAAGTATTCCAAAAATACCCTGACTGCCTATTGTAAAGAAATCATAACCACTTAAATTTGTTTAAAGTCAACAATACCTTGCTAAAACGTATGTAAATAATTCAGAAGCACATAAAAGCTACACTAATATTGTTGACTGAATTCATGTTTTTATAAATAACTCATTACGATTTTGATTGCTACGTGATTCAAGCATGTAAATAGTTCATTACCAATGTAACTTATTTAGCCATCAATACTTTGAGGCCCCAGTCCCTGGACCCGTTATGTGCCTCTTCTCTTTCAACTAGCGCCAACCCATAGGTTGGGTACAGGATGCACAATAATAAACTGAACTTTTATGTGGTTTTGAATTGTTTATAATGACTTATATTTTTAGTAAGGTATGCTTGAATTTAAATAAGCTTAACTGGTTATGAGATATTTACATTGGGCAAAGTAAGAAAATTTTTCCAGAATGGTTTGTAATGTGCCACTGTCGATAAAATACTTTGCCATTTCTTAACATTCGTGAGTGAGTTGTCTCTTAATTCATTAATTTTATCGCATTCCAGCACACAATGGCACAGGGTGTGACAACAGTCCATCTGGTAAAGTTTACGTTTACAGTAGTTATATCTGCATCAGCTGCTGATGATGCCTGTTGATGGTGGCGCTACGCTGGAAGTGACCCCTGTTGTACGGCTTCAGGGGGCCGCATGAGCATTAAATGTTGCTTTTTTTGTTTACTGTCCGATTTCCTCCAGCTTTGGTACACAAGACAAAGTGTTTTCACTCTTTGTAAAAAATATTTATCAAAAATATACCTCAAACAACAACTGAGAAAAGACTGAAAAAGGACTGATTTACTGAAAATGCCCTTTGGCAGGAAGGCAGTCCTATATGGGACGACGTAAGGTTGTTTGGACACTTGGTGCCGAGAGAACAATGCTTATACGAATTTGTAATTAGTACCTTTCCTCTAAATAACTTATCTTTATTTCACAAAAAAATAAAGTTTGTTAGTTCTTGGAATGTTGTAAAAAATCTGCCCTTCACTCCCACATAACTCCCAAAGTATTTGGAGTATTTCCAAAAATTAATAAATGGAAATTAGAGAAATCATTATTCAACAATTTCTGTGAATATTATTACATTTAATTAAGTAATAAAGGCAGACGATGTACCGTGAAGTGAATAACTTACTTCCGAGATATTGGCCTGGAGCGCCGGCCGGCCCACCGTCTCAAAATTTTTTTTTTTCGCGAAAATCGCGTTTGTTTGGGTGTATTTCTTAGTAAATTGATGATCTAGTGCAGTTAACCTCTTCAAAACACCGTTTTCTCTTACTCAAAGACGACATGAGAGGAGTAACTCACTTATATTGAAATATTCCCGATGGTCTCTCGCCATATTATGGCTTATTTTATTCAGTCTAGATTATATAACATGTTTGTATGTTATTTATAGTGTTTATTATATCATATTAGATCAATTCTGATAGATAAATAAGCCGTAGAGTTGATATATAAGCTGATATAAGCATAATAATGAAGTAATTTCTCCTGGCACTCTCTGGAGCGGGAGTACTGCCGAGTGTTCCCAGATGGTGCCTGATTGGCTCCAAGTCTACGGATAAGCTCCGCCTACTTTTTTATGATGCCAAATAGTCAGTTATTATATTAGAAAGAATAATGCAAGAAAAAGCTATAAAAAAAACAAGAAAAAAAATTCCAAAAAATATATGAGCTGTGAGCAGACGTGCTACCCATATCGCCGTCACCATACCTGATATAAATGACTATAATTTCTTGTAGAAACGTCAAAGAACATTCATTCTGGTACCATTGTGTTGCCAAAGAGTTAAGCTATTTTTCGGTATAAATAACTCAATTTCCATAATTTTGCTATTCTTTTTTTTTTTGAGAGCGCGCGGAAAATTCCCGTACAGCCCCCCTTCAGTTGTACCGTGTGGCGGCTCTAGGTGACCCTGTGGCCAATGAGGGATGCTGTGCCATGCTCCCTTCCCTTATGGCTTAGGTATTCTTGAATGATGGCCTGTCTGTACCTAACAGCCAGAATTTTCCAAAATGTTCTAGAAGTTAGAAGAGGTTTCAGCTAGCAGATATCAACAGGTATTGATAGGCAGCAAGTTGGGTCTGTGAATGTACAACAGTACCTCTTCAGAAAAGCGTTTTTCACGAACATATCTCCACTTTACGTTACGATATGTTCGTTTTACACGTTAGTTTATCTTATAGAGGTTAATTATTGTTGTGATGGTTCTGCCTCTAATTGTTCTTAGCCATTCTTTCAGATATCATTTTTGTATTCTTGAATTAACCAATGTTAAGCAGAACTTATTGCAAACACTGCTTCTTACGTAAGAATTTTAAAAGATAATAAGCACAGTGATTATCGCTGACAAAGTTCACGAATTCACAGGCATCTAGCACAAACACATTGACTAGTTTTCACAATTTACAACCATAGGAAAATCACGTACTCATAAATCATAAATCATAGGAAGGCCATTAGAGTTTACAAAATGCAATAAAAACACAGGAGGGTTGAGATGGTCACAACTCACGTGAAGTTCATTTCGTCTTTCAGGAGTTCCCACACATCTCCGAAGAAGCCGCTGAAGACGTCTCTGCCAAGGTCGAGGCTGTAGCGGGTTCTATGGGCCCGCGAGTCCTGCCAGTGATAGTTTTCAGGAATTAACATAAGTCATTAAGCATTAGGCCTAACGTCATTCATGCCTCGCGCATGCGCACACTGGCAACACCACTCACACTTAGAATACTCAAAAATTAAAAGCTGATACAGAATTTGGCTAGAATATGTGAAAATTTAACAAGAATCAAAAATTGAAAAAGAATCCCGTTGGCAACTAAGTTGTTGAATCGTTCAATAAGCGCACAAAATACGTGATAAGAGAAGTTGGTAGATGGATCTAACCTCTTAACAAACAGAAAATACTACAGTGAAAAGTTGTTCCACAAGGCACAGTATTCGCTCCTATCCTGTTTCTCATCCTCATATCTGACAGATGTAAGCCACAGCACCGTGTCTTCCTTTGCGGATGACACCCGAATCTGCATGACAGTGTCATCCATAGAAGACACTGCAAGTCTCCAAGCGGACATCAACCAAGTCTTTAAATGGGCCGCAGAAAACAACATGAAGTTCAATGAAGACGAATTTCAATTACTCCGATATGGAAAACTTTAGAAAATTAAAACTGTATCGGAGTATAAAAAGTTCCAACCACGCAACAGAGCAAAAAGCTAATCTGAAGGCCCTGGGAATGATAATGTCAGAGGATCTCACTTTCAAAGATCACAACAATGTATACCATATCTGCTAGGAAAATGATAAGATGGATAATGAGAGCCTTCAAGACTAGGGATGCCAAGCCGATGATGGTTCTCTTCAGATCTCTTGGTCTCTCTAGGGTGGAATATTCCTGTACACTAACGGCCCCTTTCAAGGCAGGCAAAACTGTAGACATGGAGAATGTACAGAGAACTTTCACAGCACGGCACATATAAGAACTATAAAGCACCTAAATTACGGGGAAAGTTTGAAGTCCCTTGATTTGTATTCCCTGGAATGCAGGCGAGAAAGATGCATGATAATATACACTTAGAAAATCCTAGAGGGACTAGTCCCAAGTTTGCACACGAAAAATCACTCCCTACGAAAGTAAAAGACTAGTTAGGAGATGCAACATCCCCCAATAAAAAGCAGGGGAGCCACGAGTATGATAAGAGATAACACAGGTGTCAGGAGGCCCAAGACTGATCAACTTCCTCTTAGCATACATGAGGAGGATTACCAATAGACCCCTGGCTGTTTTCAAGAAGGGGCTGGACAGGCACCTTAAAATCAGTACCTGACCAGCTAAGCTGTAATTTCTACGTCATTTTGCATGGGGCCAGCAGTAGCGGCCTGGTTGATCAGGCTCTGATTCACAGTGAGGCCTTGTCATAAACAGGGCCACGGGGACGTGACCCCCAAAACCTTCTCCAAGTGGCCCTGACAGGTGGCAGGTTCAGCGCTACACCACTGAGATACAAAGCTTACAATATGTTTCACGGACAGTATTTCGGTGACACGCCTGCGTCAGAGGTCATCAGCTGTGACCTAACTGTCCTTCCCCACAGCGCTGGACCTGCTACCTATGAGGACTACGGTTTGAGTCACCGCCATTCTGTTTATTCACCGAGTCATTCATTACGACTTATCAAAAATGCAAATACACATGTATATACCTGTGTACATACCCCTTTTCTGAATGTAAAACTATAGTTAATATTTTCGGGTGTCTGGAATAGATTAATTGGATTTACATTTTTTCTTATGGGAAATATAAACAAAAAATACATTTTATAGAAGATAACTATAGTTTCACACACAGAAAAGGGATTATGAAATTCGAGGGTCCACTGTATTTCTTTCAACACACCGGCCGTATCCCACCGAGGCAGGGTGGCCCGAAAGGAAAAACGAAAGTTTCTTCCTGTAAGCTTTTTCACCCTGAAATGTGTACCTCTTCAGTACAGGAAAGACTGTGCTATAACTTAAATTGCCAGGCACACCATCTAAAGGGTACAAAAAGATACAAAACATCCAGGCCATGGGAAAACCTGGGTAGCCACAGCCACTCAAGAGGGAGAGGTTTTTTAGTGCCAGGAAGGAAAAAAAACTGGCAGGAAATGGCAGAAATCGTACACCAAATCCAGTCATTCCTGGAGTGGAACCACAGTCGATGGCCTCCACTCCAAACCAACAGATACAGATACTAATGCCGGAAAAAAAATCCCCCCCAGTACCAACAATACCACCAGTCCGATGGCATTCTTCTTTGCAAATATACAGGGTCTAAAGCCAGCAACAAACAAAATACCTTTCATCCGTGGACTGCTTGCAGAGGCAAAGGCAATGTTCGCGGCTTTCACTGAGACCCACATAAAGGATCACTTGGACAACGAAATATGGATCCCAGGTTACAACCTATACAGATGTGACAGAGTGAACAGGCAAAAGGGGGATGGGGGTTGGCCTGTACATTGCAGAGTCAGTTGTTTGCACAGAACTGCTAAATGTCTCAAATGATGTAGTGGAAGTTTTAGCAGTAAAGGTCGAGAACCAAAACCTAGTCATTGTGGTAGTCTACAAGCCTCCGGATGCAACATCCCAGCAATTCCAGGAACAGCTGTTAAAAATTGACCACTGTCTGGAAAATCTTCCAGCTCCTGCACCCAACATCTTGCTCCTGGGGGATTTCAACATAAAGCACCTAAAATGGAGGAATATAGCAAATAATATTGTTGCAGTAATAACACCAGGAGGCAGCTCTGATGAAAACTCACACTCACACGAGCTTTTAAATCTCTGCACAAAATTCAATTTAAACCAACAAATAATAGAGCCTACTAGACTGGAGAATACACTAGACCTCATATTCACTAACAATGATGATCTGATAAGAAATGTCACCATATCAAAAACAATATACTCAGATCACAACATAATTGAGGTTCAGACATGTATGCGTGGATCCCCAGACCGACATAATGAGACTAGTCACGAGGGAGCATTCACCAAATTCAACTTCAATAACAAAAACATAAAGTGGGACCAAGTAAACCAAGTCCTAACCGATATAAGCTGGGAAGATATACTAAGCAACACAGACCCCAACTTATGCCTAGAACAGATTAACTTGGTGGCACTCGATGTATGCACAAGGCTTATTCCTCTAAGAAAAAGGAGGAGTAGATGTAAAATAGAAAGAGACAGGCGCTCCCTTTACAGGCGACGGAAAAGAATAACAGAGCGGCTAAAAGAGGTCAATATATCTGAAATGCGTAGGGAGACACTGGTCAGAGAAATAGCAAGCATCGAACTTAAGCTAAAGGAATCTTATAGGAGTCAGGAATCGCGGGAAGAACTAAAAGCCATAAATGAAATCGAAAGAAACCTAAAGTATTTCTTCTCCTATGCCAAATCAAAGTCGAGAACAACGTCCAGTATTGGGCCCCTACTTAAACAAGATGGGTCCTACACAGATGACAGCAAGGAAATGAGTGAGCTACTCAAGTCCCAATATGACTCAGTTTTTAGCAAGCCGCTAACCAGAGTCGAAGATCAAAATGAATTTTTTATGAGAGCCACAAAATTTGGTTAACACAAGCCTATCCGATGTTATCCTGACGCCAAATGACTTCGAACAAGCGATAAATGACATGCCCATGCACTCTGCCCCAGGGCCAGACTCATGGAACTCGTGTTCATCAAGAACTGCAAGAAGCCCCTATCACGAGCCTTTTCCATCCTATGGAGAGGGAGCATGGACACGGGGGTCGTCCCACAGTTACTAAAAACAAGACATAGCCCCACTCCACAAAGGGGGCAGTAAAGCAACAGCAAAGAACTACAGACCGATAGCACTAACATCCCATATCATAAAAATCTTTGAAAGGGTCCTAAGAAGCAAGATCACCACCCATCTAGAAACCCATCAGTTACACAACCCAGGGCAACATGGGTTTAGAACAGGTCGCTCCTGTCTGTCTCAACTATTGGATCACTACGACAAGGTCCTAAATGCACTAGAAGATAAAAAGAATGCAGATGTAATATACAGACTTTGCAAAAGCCTTCGACAAGTGTGACCATGGCATAATAGCGCACAAAATGCGTGCTAAAGAAATAACAGGAAAAGTCGGTCGATTGATCTATAATTTCCTCACTAACAGAACACAGAGTAGTCGTCAACAGAGTAAAGTCCGAGGCAGCTACGGTGAAAAGCTCTGTTCCACAAGGCACAGTACTCGCTCCCATCTTGTTCCTCATCCTCATATCCGACAGACAAGGATGTCAGCCACAGCACCGTGTCTTCCTTTGCAGATGACACCCGAAGCTGCATGACAGTGTCTTCCATTGCAGACACTGCAAGGCTCCAGGCGGACATCAACCGAATCTTTCAATGGGCTGCAGAAAACAATATGAAGTTCAACGATGAGAAATTTCAATTACTCAGATATGGTAAACATGAGGAAATTAAATCTTCATCAGAGTACAAAACAAATTCTGGCCACAAAATAGAGCGAAACACCAACGTCAAAGACCTGGGAGTGATCATGTCGGAGGATCTCACCTTCAAGGACCATAACATTGTATCAATCGCATCTGCTAGAAAAATGGCAGGATGGATAATGAGAACCTTCAAAACTATGGAGGCCAAGCCCATGATGACACTCTTCAGGTCACTTGTTCTATCTAGGCTGGAATATTGCTGCACACTAACAGCACTTTTCAAGGCAGATGAAATTGCTGACCTAGAAAATGTACAGAGAACCTTCACGGCGAGCATAACCGAGATAAAACACCTCAATTACTGGGAGCGCTTGAGGTTCCTAAAACTGTATTCCCTGGAACGCAGGCGGGAGAGATACATGATTATATACACCTGGAAAAATCCTAGTGGGACTAGTACCGAACTTGCACACGAAAATCACTCACTACGAAAGCAAATGACTTGGCAGACGATGCAACATCCCCCCAATGAAAAGCAGGGTGTCACTAGCACGTTAAGAGACCATACAATAAGTGTCAGGGGCCCGAGACTGTTCAGCTGCCTCCCAGCATACATAAGGGGGATTACCAACAGACCCCTGGCAGTCTTC